TCTTGGCTCCTCCATAGCTGCATAAAGTACAATAAAATGTACCGTACCCATTCTTTCCAAGTATGACAATCATAGATATATGTAAATGAAAGAATGAAACCCAATCCTGTGTAAAATTGTCTACTTTGACCAAGCAACGGTGTCGATTTCTGCTTGTGCACTCCTGTATAATTCTAACCTCTTGGCTAGGGCGCTTCGTCGCTCCATGACTGCCGGATCTTCATTCAACAATGAAGATAACCGTTTTTGCTACAAAAGTTGTTTTGATGAGTCAATCACTTGTATAATATACTTCAACAATAATGTAAAATTGCAGCAAAAATGCATGTAATAAGTCTTCTACTTACCTCAAGTTTTCCCAACTCAGTGAAGAAGTGGTCAAGTAGACTTCGTTTAGCTTCTCGTACTGACAATAAACAACAGACTTGGGTATGGAGTTACGAAGACTTGCACAAACCAGATTTACATAAGATAAAACAGTATATTGGCAAGAAAAAGACCCATCTACAAGAACAGCATGAGAGAGAGAGGTAGAGAGAGAGTAAGGGGCTCAGGCAACGGACAACAAGCGTGGAAAGGACGGACAGCACTGGACAGAGAGTGGTCACAGCCCAGAGGGAGAAGCAGCAAATGGAGATCAGAGGTCTTGGGAAGGCAAGGAAACTGCAAGCACCAGATGGATCATGGGGAATGGGGTTATGATAAAGGGGTTTACAAGCAAGCTACAGCATTCTTCTTTACCAACTTTCCTGAAGATTGGAGTTATGCAGAAATGTGGGTAACGTTTGCCAAATATGGGAGAGTGCTGGCAATATATAGCCCCCAAAGAAGAAGTAAAAGTGGCAATAGGTTCGGCTTTGTGAGGTTCCTTGATGTGAAGTGGGTAAAAGAACTTGAGAGTCAACTAGACCAAATCTAGATTGAGGGGCGCAAACTCTGGGTTAATGTAGCCAAATACCCTAAAGAAAAATCAGAAAAGGTGGAGAGGAGAAGAGTCTCTGGTATAGCTATTGTGGTACAAGGAAAAACATATGCAGATGCAGTAAAAGGACAGCAAGTGGACAAGCTGAGGGAAGCAAGGGGGCATGAATTTGTGGCAAGAGCAAATGCATATATGGAAAAGCACCATAGCAGAAGGAATCCCAAGCAGCAAGAGAGCAAACAGACATGGATAGAAAAGAGCAAAGAAACAGAGTGGTCTGGCTTTGAATATAATGTGAAGATTGAGGATTATGAGTGGTTACAAGGCTGTTATGTAGGAACAGCTCGCTCTGTTGAAATTGTCCAAACCTTCAAGAGAAGTTTTATATGGAAGGCTATTTCACATGCCGGTTATGAGCAATGGGTGGGAAGTTGGTTTTATTGGAGTGTGAGGACAAGGAAGAACTTAGAGACTTAGTGCAGGGAGCTCCGGATTGGTTAGGCCAATGGTTCCTAGAAGTAAAACCATGGTCACCACCAATGGAAGCAAACGAAAGATTTTTGTGGATGAGATGCCAAGGAGCCCCTTTGCATGCTTGGGGTCCATAATTTTTTGAGAATACGGCAGTTGCTTGGGGTAAATTTATCTGTTTGGATGATAGTACCAGCAAGAAAAGAAGGTTCGACATTGCTCGTTTCCTCATCTCAACGTCCATCATGGATTCAATTTCAGTCAAAAGACAAATTAGAGTCAATGGTGTGATATACAACTTAAAATTCACTGAAGAGGAACAGACGAACAGCCTTTTCTCAATCAAATATGACTTCATGCCAAATTTCAAGAGTGAATCAGAAAATGAAGAATCATGGTCAAAAGTCAGTGATTATGAAGATGAACACGGAGTAGACCGGCAGACCATCGCCGGAGAAGAAGTAGAAGCCGGTGACACATGGGGTCTATACAGAAAAGACATGGGGTTGGCTGTCATCTCGTCCTTCGAGGAAGAGGGTGAATTTGAATTAGAAAAAACCAGCAATGACGTGAGGCAATCCAAAAAGGCTGACAAGAGATCACAGAGCCAGATTGAGGAAGAAGATTCAGTAGAAGTGGTGGCAGATAACATTAATGTGGATGAATATTTGAATGATGCAGGAGACAGAGAAGACATTGGGGAATGCAACTCTGATTCAAATACAAAAACTCAAGCCACAACGGATCCTATTGAGGATTCGGAAGCCATTGGGCTGGAATTAAGGACTAAGCCCATTAGGGAGGAGGTGGGCCAAATGCACCTCACAACAAAAGAAATGGATACTGTAGCTTCGGCCAATGGAGAAAGGAGCAGCAACATGCAATCGGGAAATAAAATGAGGCCTGATAGTGCAGCTGAGAAAGGTGCAACCTGTAGACAAAAAAGGAGCACAAAAGGAGGGTCTACCACGGAAAACTCTAGGCTGTTTTGGGCAGGATTTGCAAGTGACGAAGGCAGCGAGAAGGAAGGAAGAGGTAAAAAGGAAAAAAGAGAGAAGAAAAGGAAGAGGAAGAGAACAAAATTATGTAGCTCGGTATATCAGAGAGCCACTTTGCTTGGGCGGCTAAACCAAAAGAAAAAAGGCAAAGCTAAAGCTCGGCCAAGACAACTAGAGGCGTAGGCGAAGAAGATTTCGGAGTTTGTTCCATGCACCAGCAATCCAATAGCAGGAGGCTCAGTGGGTGACAGCGATATTGAGAACTGCAACAGAATTTTGAAGAAGCAACCAAGCAGAAATATTGCAGTAGATCTATGGAATTTTGCCAAAAAAAATAGGGGTAGCAGCTAAGAATGAGGAGAATGTTATTAAAAGGCTCGAGGAGATGGAGTCGAGAGACAGGAATGCTAAAGAAGAGGAGAACTCAAGGAAAACGGCCAAGGGACAGAAGGTTAGTTGTTCTGCACAGTGAATATTATGTCCTATAACATTAGAGGGTTGGGGGGTGTTGGAAAGAAAAGACAACTTAGACAATTAGTGTGTAAAGAGAAGGTAGATTTTTTGGCCGTTCAAGAAACAAAGTTAGAAAAGGTGGATAGAAAAATTGCTAGCTCAGTATGAGGATATGAAGAGTTTGATTGGGTAGTCAAAAGCTCAGCAGGGATGTCAGGAGGTTTATTGTGTTTATGGAATAATAAGATACTAAGGAAGACACAAGTTTTTGAGGGAGAAAATTATATAGGCATTGAAGGGGTGTGGGTTCCAGAACAAATGCATGTTATCATTATAAATGTGTACTCTCCATGCCAATTAGCTGGCAAAAGAGTCTTATGGGAGGAGTTAAAAACTATGATATCAGGAAGGGGGGGGAATATATGTCTGGTGGGAGATTTCAATACAGTTCGGAGAATGGAGGAAAAGGCTAGAAGAAGTGGTTTGACGGTGGAGATGAGAGAATTTGATAATTTTATTTGTGAATCAGAGCTGTTTGACATTCCTCTTGTGGGCAGAAAGTACACTTGGTATCAGGCTAATGGTAAATCCATGAGCAGACTAGATAGATTTTTGCTTTCTGAAGGGTGGCTATCAAAGTGCGATGAGGCTAGACAGTGGGGATTATGTAGAACAGTATCAGATCATTGTCCAATTCTGCTTAGACATAATAAAGTTGACTAGGGGCCTAAGCCATTTAGATTTTTTTACTCATGGCTGGAATTAGAAGGGTGCAGAGAACCGATAAAAGATGTGTGGAGCAAGGCTAACATTCAAGGGTGGGCTGGATTCCGCCTTAAGGAGAGACTGAAATTAACTAAGGAGGCTCTAAGGAAGTGGAACCAAAACCTAGTCTCGAATATTGACAACAAAATAAACAAAGCAGTAGCCGAGATTGCTCAAGTAGATTTAAAGGGAGAGAGGGAACATCTGATGGAGGAGGAGATCGAAGTGAGAAGGGAGGCCTTTCTAGATTTGTGGAAGAATCTAAAGCACAAAGAAAGCATGCTGCAACAGAAATCAAGGAAAACTTGGTTGCTAAATGGAGATGCAAACACAAAGTTTTTCCATAATGGTGTGAAAGGAAGATGGAAGAGAAATGAAATGAACAGCATATATATGCAAGGAACCCAGATTGTAGAAGTGAGCAAAATGAAAGAGGAGATTTCATCTTACTTTGAAAGTATGTTTAAAGAAGAGCAGGGGGAGAGACCGAAATTAGATGGGATATGCTTCAAACAAATAACTGGGGAAGACAATAGCTCACTCATCAAACCATTCAATGTAGAAGAGATAAAGGTAGCAGTAGAAGATTGTGATAGCTCGAAAGCACCAAGCCCCGATGGATTCAATTTCAGATTTGTCAAGAGTGAATGGGAGGTAATTAAAGAGGATGTTATAGGATTCCTACAAGATTTTCACAAGAATAGCAAAATGGTGAGGGGACTAAATACCTCTTTCATAGGCCTCATCCCAAAAGTGGATAATCCACAGAAGATTGAGGAATTCAGACCCATTTCTCTCATTGGTGTGATGTACAAAATTCTTGCAAAGATTTTAGCCAACCGGTTAAAGAAGGTACTTGATGGGGTAGTTGGTGAGCAACAAATGGCGTTCATCAGTGGTAGACAATTAATGGATGGGGTTGTCATAGCAAATGAGGTGGTCAATGAGGCAAAAAAAAGGAAGAAAGAAACTTTCATGTTTAAGATTGACTTTGAGAAGGCTTACGACAAAGTAAATTGGAGTTTTCTGGATTATATGATGCAAAGGATGGGGTTTTGTGCTACTTGGAGGAAATGGATCAGGGTGTGCCTGTAAACAAGCTTGGTGTCAGTCTTGGTTAACGGAAGTCCAACAAGACAATTCACAGTTTCCTGAGGACTTAGACAAGGGGATCCTCTATCCCCTTTTCTATTTTTAATAGTTGCTGAGGGGCTAAATGGTTTAATCTCCACAGCTTCACAAAAGGGCCTACTTGAAGGAGTGCAGGTGGGGTCTCACGGATTCAAAGTATCACACCTTCAATACGCCGATGATACAATTTTGTTCGGAACAGCTTCTGAGGAAAATGTCTGGGCAATGAAAGGAATACTGAGATCATTTGAATTGGTTTCGGACCTGAAAATTAATTTAATAAAAGCCAGCTTGTGGGGATAGGGGTGGAAGAAGATTGGCTGGAAAAAATGTCATGGGTGTTATGCTGCAAAAGAGGATCATTTCCATTTAAGTACCTGGGGATTCCCATTGGGGGGAGCTGCGAAAAGCTTGCTTTTTGGAAACCATTGCTGGACCTCTTCTCACGAAAATTATCCATTTGGAAGGGGCGGTACTTGTCTCTCGGAGGTAGAATCACTCTTATTAATTCAGTGCTGTCTAGTCTCCCTGTTTTTTGGATGTCGGTGTAT